AATTCACGCTAAATACAAGAAAGAAAGAAAAAATCATCTCAAAATAGTTGAGCAAATAATTATCAGTCAACATCTTACATTTACATAATTCCCATACATTCCTGGAGGCCTTGGGCATTCAATACCAGAATCTGGATCTGCTTCAGGGCATGGACTGCATTTTCTTAAAAGGGGTAAACCAAAGGAAATAATTGATGTTATCAGAGAGATGAGGCATGCTTCAATTATCTGCATTTTGGGGTTCAGCAGGAAGGGACAAGAAGAGAGTTGAAGTCAACCATAGAGCAACATGGCACTATTTGAAGAATATAAATTTCATTGACAACGTCAAAAACCCACCTTGACTCGATTCCCATTTTTGTGCAAATAATTCCGGCGCCAGTAAGCAATATAAAATGTGAGCTGGTTAAATAAGGCTCCTGAAAAAGAGAACAATTTGAAAATAAAGTTTAATTTCATGAGAAACATAAAACAGAAAAGAGCATGGACACTTTCATAGCTCAGGCAACAAACACATACCCAGTAGACCTCCAATAACTCCAATAACCGCCATCGGCAAGAACTCCTCAAAAGAGTAGTCCTCTTGACCACTAAATGAAATTAATTAGGATGTTAGAAAAAGCTAAAAACTGAGAAAAATTACAGAACTAAGAAAGTTTTAGATCTTTTCAGAAAAATGAAGAAAGTTTAGATCTTAACTCTGATATGTCCCATATTATGAAGCCACCTGACCCAAAATGTCCACACTTCCCACTCTTACACCATCCCATTGCAGTACGCACCACAACAGCCACAATAGCAGAAGTAAAAAAGACCCTCCACATAAGTTGACTCTTCCACCTTATAACAAAGACATAAAAGTTGATGAAATACAAAAGAAAAATGCTTACAAGAAAATGAGTTTGAAATATTTTTTAATTTTAATTCCACAATACTAGCATATATAAATATAATTATCTGCATGAATCCACAAGAAAAGCACACATAAAACTGCATATTTGAAGAAATAACTTCTTTTTTTAATAGAAACGATTATATTGATAAACAAGAGGAAAGGCAATCCTCAAGTGTACTACAGACAGACATAAATCACACTCCTAAGAGACAAGAAACTAAAAGACCGAAACACAATGAAACATAAAGACCCACACACCGGCAAGAAATAACTATAATAAAAATCAGACATTAACTGCATGATCAAGAATGGAACTGCATTACCAAGATGTAACTTCCTCCAATGCAAATAGTACGCCGCCAACAGGAGCTCTAAAAGCAGCAGAAACTCCGGCTGCACACCCACAGGTTACCTTTTCAAAAAATCACAAAAATGCAAAATGAGCACAATTTTGAGGTGCATGACTTCTATCACCAGAGTTGGACATATCTAAGAATACCACGGAAGATGGTAAGAACAGTACTTGGATATTTTTAACATAACATACAAACATACAATAAATAAACGGTTCGGGACTGTTATAGGGTGCCTACGTTTTTCTTTCAACAAAACAGAACGCCATATATGAACTAGATTCTGGATACCATCAGGGGAGGACAAAGAACGACAGCTACAACTACAAAGCTCATGAACTTGACGACTAGCAAGTATGGAAGCTGTGAATAGAAACTAGTCAAAGGAGATTACCATGCCAATGATAAATTCGCAATGGAATTTGAAAAAAAAATCTAGTTCCAGGCAGGTGAAACTTTTAGAGTTCAGACAATAAACTTGAAAGTCATAAATCACTCACCAGATCCCGACGATCTCTGTCGCTATTAAAAATTTGTAGCCACCTGGATCTTAGATGGTATTTTGAAGATCCACCCTGTATTCAGATATAACCACAATAATTTTTAAAAGAAAAATTGTAATTAACTAGGACACTAGAAAGATATTATAATATGTGACATCAAAAACATGGTTTTTAAGAACTTATGCATGACAATTAAGATTATAAATATATAAAAATAAATAAAAACAAGAATGTGCAAACAATTGCCAACATACTCCAGAAGTTGAACGAAGAACTAATTAGAAGCCGTCAAAAAGAGCAGTATGTATGTGCTTACTTGTCCAAGCAAAGAAGCAATACAAGCACCAGTATGAACAAGAGGGCCCTCTTTGCCTAAAGCTAGACCACCTCCCACCGACCCAATGCTCCCAAATATCTGCGCAATTTCCAGAAGACTATAACTCAAAGTACATTATTTAAATCTCAACAAATAAATAGAAAGCCAAAACAGGTAATCACACCTTTCCAATCAAGGTTCTGAAAAGAAGTATACCAGGCATATCAACCCCTGTACATTTGATTAACAATCAGCAGGACGCTTGGCTGATAAAATTAGCAATACTCAATAGAAATACATTAAAGTCCAACTTACCATTCAAATATCCCTTGATTTCTGGAATACCGGACCCAGCTGCTGCGGGTGCAAATTGTGTAACGATATATACAGAGGAAAAAACCAAAACTAAGTTGATTAATATGTATACCAAAAAACCAGCCACATATGATTTTTGTATTATAGCAAATGTCAATGCAAACTTCCATCCTGCAAAGTTCTCAACGGAAAGATTGATGAAAACAGCGGCTAATCCAGTGCCTGAAAGCAATAAAAAAGAATTCATAAAATGAATAGAAATTCTGAGGAGTTAAAACCAAAGTAAATAGACCACCAAACAAAATTTTAAAACTGAATTCTACTCCAATTTGGATCCTTTGAAGTGACACTACACAAAAGCTAAACAATTGGTGCCACAGCAAATAAATGCTTACCGATACCGATGAGCAAAGCAAAGAACCACTTCACCATCACATAATACCCAACATAAAGCTTCCCTCTCTGCGCCTGTAGATATCAAACACACAAAATTAACCCCTAAAAAAACCGAACATTTCGACAAAGTTGACGCTCAATTAAGCTCAGAAGTGTGACCTGTTCATCCCAATAAGCGTGATTCTCAATGACTTCATAGTCGAGGCTCTCGATGCTGCTCTTGTCGCTCTTCTTGATGAGGCCGACGGTGTCAGGCTCGCCGTCCTCTGAGTTCGGAAGACGAGACCAGGCGAGCTTCGGCCCCTCGATCCCGTTATGCAAATGATTCGACAGCATGATTGCTCCAAACTCGGATTTTGGATCAAACCCTAGAAATTCTGAATTCGAAACCGGAGCCGGTACAGCATAACCGATCGGAGATTAAAGAGAAGTGAATTGAATTAACCAAATCTTATTCGGAATCCGAGAAAGTGCTTTTGAAGAAGAGAAGAGAGAGAGGTGAGGTGTTGGCTGACTTTGGCGGTAAAAGTTAGAACCGTGAGTGACTGACTCTCTCTCTCCCTCTCCTTTGCTCTGTGTGGCTTTGTTCTGTCTTTTTACTATTTTCTTTGCGTTTGTTTGACTGTGACTCTGAAAACCGATCGCTTTGCAACGAAGCAGGTGTTACGCGCTCAGGGATAGGATCTTCTGCGGCAGCGGTTGTGTGAGATTTTGGGGGTGTAGTGAATGGACGGCTTGATGGCGGCCAGGGAATTCTTCAGATCGGCGGTTATATAAGACAAGGCGAATTTTGGAATTTTGAAATGTTGTGCTGTTAGCGTGGTTGGCCCGGGATACAAGTGCACAGTAAGGTTGAGGGTAGTAGTGTAGGGGAGGGTAGCCAGTGGGGTCGGTTGAACGGAATTTTGGACTTACGGTTGTGGAAAATAAAAAATGTTTTTTTTATTATAAATATTATAGTATAGTGGTTGGTGACTTGGTGCGTTGGTGGGGACGTGTCCAACCGAGGCGGGCAAAGGCGCATGGTTTATAATCATTGTTTAGTCCATGGTTGGACGCCGCTATATCAATGTCGTCTCTATTTTTGGTAATATGAAATAACATAGAATTGAACATGAGTAACAAGTATATTTTTGTTTCGGCCATATTAAGATCTTGAGTACCATTCTAGAAAATAAAAATATATGAGCAGTGCTAGCTAAAGGTGCATTTTGTTGCGGGTTTTTGACACGCTAAGGTGTTAATTTTGTTTGAATTTGAGACCACTGATCTGCAAATCAATGTCATTTTTCATTTAGTTTTTGAATATATTAAATAAATAGATTTATATGTAAGTGTGGCAGAAAATGAATGAAAAAGGAAAAAAGAGGAAGACAAGAGAGAAAGGTAACTAGTATTACTCAAAATAATATTAAGTTATTATAACAGTTGTTGCAAGCAAATATTCATGCATCAGAGGTCATGTGTTTGAATTTCTCCTTCTCTCGCTTGTACAAAAATATACATAAAAAAAAGTAGTGGTTTTGCCGTATTTATATTGTCGGACCATATAAATGAGGACAATGGGTATCTTAACTCTTTTAGGGGTTGAAATTGTCACCTAAATACTTAGCTAGGCTAGATTTTGGAGGGTATGTTATCCCTGTGTGGTTAATTTCCAAAATAAAGAATGGCTCTTTTAGTGGTCCATGATGAAACTCCATTCATTCTACTTTTTTTTGGGTCGAAATCCATTCATTCTACTTAGTGAGCCAAAAGTCAGATATGAGGGATTTAAGCACGCAAACCATCGGCAATTGGCAATTGGTAAATGCATTCCAGGTCTGAGGTCACGACTAATAGTACCGCCAATATAAAAGAGTGATTCTACCATTTCCTCAAAGAAAAAAAAAATACTTAGAAAACGAAAAAAAAAACAGAATTTCAATGTCCTATAAAGAAGGTTTGTGGCTTCAAACTTCAAAGCAGCCAAAAGATGCAAAGTATTATTATAGAAATAAGCTGTCATAACATGTGATGAACAACCTCCTCGCCTATATAAAATTATGCTCTGAAAAATAATGCATGTTTATTAAAATAATATAATTTTCTAAATTTTTGGTACATTGTATTTTAATGAGTAAATTGATATTATTATAATATTTTCTTTTAGAAACAAATAAAAAACCGAAGCAAGGTACAAGACACTTTGACCTGTGTCTTCCATTATGTCACCTCCAGAGAATCTCTGATGCTTGGCGTGGCTTGGCTTGGCATCCTTTCTCTACTCGGTTGCTTTTGTTATTTCTTTTTTCCATCCTATACGTGTCACTCCTTTTTCCTTTTTCCATATTTTTCTTTGAATTCTTTTGCGGCTGGCTGAGAACATCAGTTTAGCTGATCCTCATGCTATCACTTAAAGTTTTGAAGGGGCGGGATCGGAAGTCGAGAGCTCTGAATACATAGTTGATATCTCTTTTGCAAAGTATTCCTTTGCTTGAGGTCTCTTGATCTGAAGAAGTCGAGAAGAAAGTGAGAATGTGATGTTAATTCATCCAAGCATTTGCTATCAATCTTTTGAAACTGAACACTTGCCTTGAATGTTGGAGTGAGCAGACCATTCTCTAGCGTGAATGGTTCAAGCACCAGTGTCACAGCTTTCACAAATTCAAAACCTCTCAACTGAAGTGAAATATATAGAATTATTTATTAAGAAAAAAGTTCAAAGCGTAAATCTGAACAAAGTGCAAGGTAGCCCTGAGTGAGCTATTAGAACACTTGCCTGAGCTTCCCTGCCAAGGGCATCCATATCAGCCAATACAGCTGCCCTTGCTCTAGGGTCATTGCATAGTTGCCCTAAATCTTGATACTGCACCCACACCACCAGAGAACCATAAATAAAATATCAAATTTCTGCAGCTAATGCCCATGTCCTTAGACGTAGAATGAAATGAGGGAGTAAACACAATTCCCTCAATGTGCACCTTATTTTAGTTAAATTAAGGATCCCTTAGAAGGGCCCTTTATGTATGTAGATGTAATATTATAATATTCTTATTTTGTTTATAGCACCAAACCTCCAACACCTCGATCCTTGGAAAGGTAGTAAACTTCCAAATGTGCATGTTTTCCCTTTTCTCTCCAAATAATAGAAAGACACCAAATCTAGACTTTGTAACTAAGATTTTTGCAGACTTGCTTCTTTTTTTCATATGGAAGTTCTAAAATTAAAATGGGCCATGATAGTTGGACAGAATATGCAGGACATTTAAGACAAAATTAGTTAAGTGATCTAGATGAGTCAATCGCTGTAAACCTGGAAGCAGTAATTCTATATGATCAGACATATATGTGATGAGACTGTATGTTTACTCGTCTACATACCACTATTTCCAATGCATATATGCAGGGGAGAAAAGATCTATTGCACTTAAACTGCTTCTAATTTGTATAAATTTTGACAAGTTAATGCATGAAGATATCAACTAGTTGTAGGTAAATGGAAGGCCAAATACTTTTCTATGTGCATGTGCAAAAATGTAAACCAAACTTTACTCAAGTCCTAGAGCATAGAAGTTATTATTTTCATTTTGTGCAACTGAAATGTCATATCTGACCTTAATGCCTTCAGAATCAGCCCATGCTTTCAAGACATCTGGGTCAACTGAGACAATTGCTACCAAAGAAGAATTTAGGCTGTCACCTACCAGTAGCAGCAAATAAGAAGTCAGCAGCCCATAAGTATGTGTGTGTGTGTGTGAGAGAGAGAGAGAGAGAGAGAGAGATTGTAAATTCTTATTTCTTACCATGGACAAAGCACTGGGCAACAAACTTGCACTTGGCATAAACATTCTCAATTTTCTCTGGAGCTATATACTCTCCTTGTGCCAACTTGAAAATGTTCTTCTTCCTATGGGCATACAAAACCTTAAGTTACAGGCTTAAGGCCACATGCTAAAAAGACACTAATATGCTCTAATCATGACAAATCCTGTAAGTTTGATAAATATCTCTCTATATGTGAGGTAAATCTTCTTTTTTTCTGAATAGTTCCTTTCTCTCAATAAACCTCACAGTTCGTTTGACCCTTAGTAAAATCATACAATATAAACCCATGCTACAGCACATGTCTGATGCTAATTGTCCAAAAATATAGTGTAACTCATTAAGGGCTATCACCAATTCAAACGGGTTTTAGCAGCCTTATATAAGATGATAAAGAAGCCACTATTGTAGCAGACATATATATTGCACTTCACAGAGTTACCAAGTTGAAATTTTCACACTAAGGGCTCATTTGGGAGTGATTCTAGATAGGCCAATAATCACTTCTATGGAGAATCACTACTCCATATAATCACTTTAAGTGATTTTAAGCAATTTTGGGAGAAGCACACTTTAAGTGGTTTTAAGTGATTTTATGGAGAAGCACCTCCCTTGTGCTTCTCCCCAAAATCGTTTAAAATCACTTAAAGTGATTATATGGAGAAGCATAATCTTTTGAAAAGTAAAATTATGCATGGGCAACCCCCATATGTGGAACGTATCACAGTTTGAAAACCACTCATAATCACTCCCAAACAAGCCCTGAGAAGGTGCAAGGCAAATCACCTCAGAGTTATCAGGTTGACTATCCCTTTGCAAAGTAAAATTATGCATGGGCAACCCCCATATGTGGAACGTATCACAGTTTGAAAATATAAAGCAGAAGCAGTATCAATAAATCTGAGACTACCATTTAGGATGGTATGATCTCACCTATCAATGATTTTCAGACGACCTCCTGGTGACCACAGCCCAATATCTCCAGTATGAAGCCATCCATCTTCATCGACCACTTCTCTCCTGCTCATTAGGAATATATTATCCGACTAATTTAATATCTGACTAAAGGAATATCATTTAAAGCAAGATTTAACAGGTAAGTTAAATACGTCTGCACTTCATCTTTGTGATAGCCTTGGAAAATAATAGGACCCCTGACACAGATTTCACCACGAGGATAGGGTTGATCCTCCGACGTGTAGTTCATCTCGGGTACATCAACAAGCTTTATTTCTGATATCAAAAATAGGAAATCAAATATTAGCCCAAGGTAAGAGCAGAGTGTATAAGGTGAAATAAATCTTATATGAAGAAAACCTTCTTTTCTACACTCTTTGATTCCATGGGTAGAAATGTTAAAAGAAAAATAAGAAGCTAAAATTTGTGGTCCGCATTATATGAAATAAACCTAACTGATGCCAATAAATAGGTGTGTTAAACTCACAGAATCAATGGGCAATAACTCACCACAAGCTGGATTAGGAGAGCCAACATGGCCAGATAGGTTGTCATCCCCATCCATAGAACTAATAACACAAGAAGTCTCCGTCATTCCATATCCTTCACTTATTTCACCACCAAAGCATCTGGAAATAAATCGTCAATAGTTATAAGCCCAGTTGGGAAAAAAAAAAACCAAAAAAAAAAAGAGGAAAGAACAAAACAATAAGATAAAATAAACAACCATATGTGACTCCTTCTAGGCATTCAAACGACTTACATCCTTAAAAATTCCATGACATCAGGAGACAAGGGTGAAGCACCTGATGCCATGAAACGAACCCGTCCTCCTAGCTTAGCCTTTATCTTATTGAATACCAATCTGTCCCACATGGGGGATGGATTTTTGCCTAGAAGATTCAGTAATGGTACAATCAGTAATTATGAAATCACATAACACAAGATAATTTTATAAATGACAATCAAACAGTTCAGACTCATCCTGTCAGCTGTGGCTAACAGAAAGTCCCAGGAGATCATGAGGCAGTACCAAGCAAACATTTCAGTACATCTCATGTTTCGAGCTGCTATATTTCTACATCAAATATAGAATATCACCTATTCACTTGTGGTTTTCTTTTATTTTCCACAATTCTAGTTTTGTATTATATCAAAACAATTAGAAAATAAAGGAATTTGACTTTACACCTTAAAACCATTAATAGAAGATCATTGTGACTTATTTAATATAACAGCGTTGAGTAGGCAAAAGAAGTTTCGCAGTTTAAGCATAATCTGTTGAGAAAGTCATAGACACAATCTCATGTTATAATCCAAAAAAGGATCTCGTCGATAATACACTTTACCACTTAATAATGCTTGCTTCTTGGCATTGTAAGCAGCATTAAATAGCCTCTCCCTCAGCACACCGGATGTCTTTACTGCATTTGTAATTCTGAATAACCAGGACATCTGAATCAATGACTGATTAACTATATTTGTTTCTTTCAGATGAAAAACCACATAATTATGTGATGACTCAAAGACTTATCACATAATTTTGAAAATCATTTTACCCAGCATATATTCTGTTATACAGCCTAGGAACACTGCAGAAGATGGTAGGTCTTAGAGCAGTCATATCGTCCATTAGCTTCAAATTATCCTGTATAACAGTTAAATAAACCCTGTAAGGCTTGTATCTGAAGATATTAATGCCTCAGCTACTCTAACATACCAGCAAATATTACAACAGGTAGATCTGAAGTTTTAAAAGTACTAATAGGCCACAGGACAAAATATTTAAAAAATAAAAATGCTTAAATCAAGTCTCATACCCCTTGGTAGAATCCAACAGCAACCCCAAAATATACTGTCATGACCTGGTTAGCACGTTCATAAATATGCGCCAAAGGAAGATATGATATGTAGCTGGAAAAATATAAGGTAAGTTTAGCAGAGAAAAAACAGGGTGTATGAAGATCAGAACAAAACCTCAAACGAACTATTGTATACTAAGCACCAGACAGCCAATGATACTCACACGTCAGACGGGTAGAATTTGATAGCCATAGTGGCCCCAGCAATATTTGCAATCAAGTTTCCATGTGTCAATACAGCTCCCTAGCCAAACGATAGTATTTGGAATAGTGCAATTGTTAGAATATTTGGGATGATACTGTAGATGTGGAAAGCTTTTAACATAATCTTGTATAAGGAGGAGCCAGCCAGCCCTAGAATTCTTAGGTGCTGTTTTTTATTCCCTTTCCTCTTCTCCCTCAATTTCTCTTCCTTTCTTCCATAATATCCAACATAAAAAGAGAAATCTAAGCTATATATGCAAATATAGAAGTCAAATCATTTAATGGAAACCCACTAACTTCATCAGAAAGCAAAAAGTTCATAGCAGTTTAAGTTGTACCTTTGGGGTGCCAGTTGTACCACTTGTGTAGCATATTGTTGCAACATCTTCCGGTTCTGGTGGGAAAAAAGGCTGAAGACTACTACGTCCCTAAAAGGATATGACGAATATGAAGCACATCACTCAAACGTTTTTGAAAAATTATACCATACGTATGGTGTCCAACTATGATAACAGTCATAATATCCGTGTAGCAACATGTGCATATAAAAACAGCTCATGTGCGTGTGTGAACAGACTCTGCATTGGAATATGTGAGAAGAAAGCCTTACCAACCACATGTAAGGGGTAAGTTTCATTGCGAAGACAAGGTGTAAAATAGAAAAACTATTCAATATGTAGCTATGAAAAAATGTAGAGTGCTTATACTATGGGTGTGTGTCTGTGAGTTCTTTTAGCATGCCTGAGTGGATTATCTTTATGTTAGTCTTAGTACAGAAAAACTTTCATATGAAACTTGGATACATACCCCATCCTTAAGAAGATCATTTATAGGATCTCCCAAAACTTTCCAAGGATTTGGTTGATTCGTAGGAAAGAAAAGAATTACCTGACTAAGCAATTTTGAATATGTTACAACCTTCACTCCAGTTGATGATGGAAGTGATGGTATTTGATCATCTATACCGCCAACAACCTGTATAATAATGAACGAAAAATAAAGCATTAATTTAGAAGATATATAATAAAAAAGTTGTGAAGTCAAGATCATGATCACCTTCAATAGTATAAAGATTCATTTATACTATGAGGTGTATTCTCATACCACAATCAAGCGTACAGTTGGCATATCCGCCAAGAAGCTCAACAACTGCAATTCCAAATGACAAGAATCAACGAAGGAAATTCAGAGCCATATAATATAACAATGTCGAATTTAATACTTAGTATGACTACAAATATGCAGTCCTCTATGATGATCTACTAACAAGAAGAGCAATTTCAATCACGAAGAAGGCAAAAAGGCCTTAAACGATGTCACTGAAAAAGTGAGAAATGATACACTAAACTAAACTATACCTTGACACTAATCATGGCCAAACATGAGCCAAACGCCAAGGTTAAAGAAGTCAGCACCACATAGTCGAGAAACAAACATTTCTCTAATTTAGGTGGATATTGTGATTGTTCATATTGTAGCAATAAATTTTTAATGTTCTCTTGTAAATTTGTTCTTCTCTTCTTATCTCTTCCTTTCATATTTTGCATAACTTAAGGGTAGGGAGTAAAGCATATTTTCCTGTCATTATTATAATGGTTTAATATCTACATTAAAATCAGGTTTATATTCCATGATTTCAAACTAAGCAATTCATAGTGATAAACTCTACATTAACATCAGGTTTATATTCCATGAGATTTATCAAAACATCAGGTTTATATTGCTGATCCTATATGCATCTCCAAAAATTTTAAATAATTATCAGTTGTCGTTGAATACTCTACATATACAAAACTGAGGAAGAAAGAAAGTAGCAACTCAAAAAGATATCATTAAGTTATAGAGCACCCTGAATAAAGAATAACTTAAACTCACACTATTCAATGTTTCAGGCACACAAAATATAACTTGTACAACAGCATGATTTACAATGTACTTGACAGCATCTGGACCTGCGAAAAATACCATATTTAACTGTAACATCTGAATACTAGACCAAGATCGGCAACATTCGAGAAGAGTAGTACAAACCTAGAGTGTCATATAAAGGAACTGATATGTACGAATATGCAGAGCAAGCATGATCAACAATGAGCCACTCAGGTCTGTTGATAAAATACAACCCAATGCAAGCGCCCTGCATTTATAGAAATAAAAGAAAGATAGGATTTGACATTAAACAGCATGGAAACTTCCACTCGGTATTTTCAGATTACTTGAGAATTCTCAAAGAACTGGTTACAAACATAAAGTTTAATAACAGTATATATATTGGAACCATAGAATTATCAGTGAAAATACCTTTGGTATTCCATGATAAATTAGGCCAGAACCTATTGCTGACCGTGCAGTACTTGCTTCTCCATATGTCATCCATTTGTATCTTGAAGGGAAAAAAATTGAATGCAAAAGGGTGAGGCTTCCAAAGGAATTTGAGAACTTTATTTATATAAAAATACACTCACTCTCCAACTGTTCCATCAACCCGAATTCGTGTTCCCAAATATTTGTAATCTCGGAAAGTATCAACTGCGTGCCTAAAATTCACAAAATTTGATGGAATCATTTAGAAAAATTCAAGGGAACTAAATACAGAGTGGTTAGACATGTTGATATTTGTAGGGGAACATAATTGTGTAATTTAGCAAAAAGTAGGTGCCTCACACGAAATTATCATGCAGTGTACCAATTTCAGGATGATCAGGGAATCTACTAACAAGCTTCAATGGGGAGCGTGCAGATCTGCAACCACATTTTTACAAGATTAGCCAGAGGACTTTGTACAGGCAACACATACAAGAAGAAGGGAATTTGCCCACCTGTATACATTCCACTTTCCTGTCTGTAATTTCTCTGGAAGCACCACACTGTACCCTTGCTCTGTTAAGAAATTAATTGTAACATTGCCTGATATTAATATATGTATTTAAGCCAATAAGTTGAACATTTTAGACATGTTTTTAGATCTGATTGCAGATCACCTTTGTCAAGCTGTCTATGTTCAGTCTGTAATCCACCAAATAAGAAAGAAACTTAAACCTTTCACACAATCGCATTTAATCTCCTATCCCACTTGAAAGCCCTAAATTCCCGCTCAAAAATCTGTTTCCTAAAGCATCTTTTGAGTAATAAACTTATCCAGTAGCACTTTCACAACTAATTTTTATCCCAAAACACAGGATTCACGCAGTGAAATATCCCATACAACAAGGTAACGTAATGGCAGAAGCACCTATGCTCTACCGACGTAAAAAATAGAAATATCAGATGAAATCCAGAAGCACACTGGCATTTGGACTTGTGATTTGAAACGAGGGATTTTGATTTGAGGTATTTAGCTTCAGTTTTGTTTGCATAAAATGTTCTAAAAAACTAAAACAAAAAGTTGAAGCTTTTTATTGTGGATGAGGGGGAAAAACTTTATACTAAAAGAATTACAGAGTAAATTTCATATCATAAACTTTTCAGAAAACATCTATATAATAAAAAATTCCAAGTCTCTAAAAAACCCAAAATTTCAAATTTCAAATCCAAACGCACCTCATAACGCTCTAGCAGGTTCTTAAGTAAATTATTCAGAAAGCATCCTCATAAACTGGGCTCAAGTGGGCCACATAAAAAAGTATCAAACATGAAATCAAAAGGAACACACCACCCTTTGCTGAAAGAGTAATCAAAAAGTTAAAACGGATGATCAATAATCGAAAAGCTCACACATCTACCAAAGCCAACGAAAAGCAGCGAATCACAATTTTTCTGATTCTCAAGGCCCTCAAGATTAAGACACGACAAAAATCAACGAGCAATACTAATGAACAGAGAAACTCAGGTCCACCACCTAAAACGAGCCCTAGCTTTTTTGTACCACACCATTAAAGCCCCTCACTTGGACCAAAAAGAAGCTTTGAGCTTCTCCTGCATACTACGCGATCATAAAAACCAAAATTCAGCTGAAAACAGAGTGTGAGAGAGAGAGAGAGAGAGAGATGGCGCACCGGAAACAAACTCGCCGGCGGTGAGGTTTGGCCGGAGAAGAGACTCAGAGTCGACGGCGGCGGTGGTGAGGTGGCCGTGAATGGCTTGAAGGCGACGTTGAGCTGGCGTTGAATCCATAGGAGGAGCTTCTGGTATGTCTCAGTTGAAACTCGATTGGTCTCGTGAGTGTTGCTTTCGTGTGTTGGATTGGGAGTAGTTGGCGTGATTTTTATCTAGTGAGGTCAGGCTCCGTAAGCTCTTTTTGTTTTCTGTTTGTTTCTCGGGAATATCCGAGATAGAAAATGCGGGCACGCCTTCCAACGATGGCGATCAAGAGATTGATGTAGGAGATGGATACGGACAGAAATGAGAACAACGGCAGATGAGGAAGGAAAGGAGATAAAGAAGTAATAATTTGGTGTTTTTTTTGCTTTCTGTTTTTGGTCTCAATAATTGGCTTCGTTTCGTTTTGGCGAGGAAATTATGTCGATTTTTTTACAAGAAATAGTCAAATCTGCTTCTTTGTTCTTTTGTTCTTGGGCCGGCCGTCAACCTTTGTGTTCGAACCTTTTTTATACCTTTTAAGTTTATATTTATCCATTTTGGCAGATAGTTTCCGAATTGTGGTCCAATATGCACCACAGCACAGGTAGAGTTCAATTTCAATTCTTTTCTTTTCTATTTTTTCTGGTTTGCTTTTTTCATGGGTTTTTTATTTTTTGTTTTTTGTTTTTTATTTTTTTACTTTCGTTGGTTTGGTAAACATGATTGCGTTGAATTTGTTATTATTTATTGCAGTGGGTAATTTTAAGGTCGGTTTCTAGTTTTCAATTTTCAGTTTCTAGTTTTTCATTTTTCATTTTTAATTTCTAGTTTTTGTTTTCATTTTTAAAAACCTGAAAACATGAATTTTTTTTGTTAATCAATTTTATTTTTCAAAAAAACTGAAAACATAAAATTTGTTTAAAAGTTGTTTGGTAATTGTTTTTAATTTTTAGTTTTATGTAGAACTAGGAAATGACTTCTTCTTTTTTGTCAAATTTTGAATATGAGGTTATATAATGAAATTGCATGTTACAAAGAATTCGTAGTATTTTTTTATGACTTTTTTGGAGTTAAAATGAATTTATATTTTCATTTTTCAATTAAAAGAAAATTAGTGAAAATGAAAACTAAAAATTGAAAATAAAATGGTTATCCAAAAGGCCTTATAAAATGTGATAACCTCAAAATTGGGAATTTTGTTGTTATTAATATTCCAAAAAATCATACAAGGTTAATAAAATGTATGGGTATTTTATGAACTTGGTTTGGTGTGGTAATAATAGAGTTATGTGAGTTTAATCTCAATTTGGGACTAAAAAGCTCTTACGTTTAATTTTATAATTTTTTAAAGGAAATAAAAAGAAATTGATGTGATAAAAATGTAATTCTTGAATGGAAAAATGGAGCTCGATCTCACGAATACATAGGCACAGACAGCTCGTGAATCGGAGTTATATAGAAAGAAATTCAATTTTTGTTATAAAATGAATAATCAGAGTATGGGAATTACCACTGAATATTGGGAGTGGAAATGTATTTAGAACTTTCTTTACTGATAGAGCTCTCAGGGTTCTTACTCACTCTTTCTCAGATTTCTCTCTGAATTGGTTGTATCATCTGCAACTAAGATGGAGTCTATTTATAAGCATTTACAATGACCCCCCGTGAACAAAAGAAGAAACATAATGATGTTTCTACCCATCAATACTATTCACCTTTTGACCATGTGGGCTTCACCCATTCTACTTTACAACACTCCCCCTTGGAGACCACATGTCCCTAAATTGGTTGCCTCATTAAAACCTTACTTGGAAAAACCCAGTGGGAAAAAACCTAAGTGAAGGAAAAAGAGTACAACTTTATTTGGGACATAGGAAATGCGCACATGTTGCCTCGTTAAAACCTTGCTAAGGAAAACCCAGTGGGAAAAACCCTAGTCGAAGGAAAAAGAGTACAA